TTATTGGCTAGTTTTTCGTCGTTTTCTGTCCAATTGCCGGCTTGCAACGTTCCATAGTGAAGTTAATTATCTGCGGTACCGCGTCTTTCTTGGTCCACAAGGCTTAAAAGAGGGTCCCAAAAAACTCCTTACCGCAAGATTTTGTTCGAAGCAGTCTTTGGTAAAGTGTTCTGCACAAAAGCGCGAATGCTTCGAGGGCGTAAAGCATTCTCTTTTCATTTTTATAAGCCATTCTCTATTTTAAAAGACCCAAAACTCCTGGGGCAAATTGAAAGTGCTAACTTTGGATTTTGAATTGTTTGTGCAGTTTATTGCTCTGAAGCTCACTGTGAACTTGAAAACAAAACAGTTTCAAATATCTCGCATTTCTTGAGCTCACCAACAGAGACGTCACAAGTTTTATTTCCGACAATTTTCCCGACCGCTCTACGATTCTGAAGACAAAAAACAGTGATTTTAACATTCCAATATCTCCGCAATTCTTCGTCCTATTCGTTTAAAACTTTAGAATATGTTTATCTTACATTTAATGAACACATTGGACTCAAATGAAAGAAATGTCTAACTTTTTGTTCATTTGACCTTTAATAAAATTATATGGCTTTTACGCTAATTAAACTTTGTAAAGCGAACAATTTAATCAAATACGTTGAAAGAACAATCACTATCTATCAGATTCTAATCTGGGAACTGGGATACCGGTGACAGTATTTGCCTGCTGTCGATTATAAGACACTTTTTAGAACACAAACTTACCAGCACAAGGGTGTTCACACTTCAACGTCACGCCACAAGGTGCCCTACATGGAGTGAGAAGTGGATCCACGTGACATTTTGTCTCGTTTTCGTGTCCACAAGGCCAGGATTTCTTTGTTTTGACGGTGCACTTTACACTGCACTCTTCAGAGCACACATTCGCACACTGATGGCCACACCGGGGTAGAATCTTTGGGCAGGGTGACAGGCATTTCACTTCAGAGGGATTCTTGTGGCAAGGGACTTTCTGAGTATGGCCACAGAGAGGAAGGATCTTTGTCACGAGCTCCATGCAAGGCCCACACTCCTGGTAACATCTCCTGGTACACTTATGCTTTTGAGCGCACAGCGTCTTAGCGCAAGGCTTATTACACTTGTATTCCTTGTGCTCTGGGTCTGTCG